GCCGCTGGGTCCGGGCCTTCAGGAGGCGCTGCTGCTGCCCAGCCCCGGACTGGCGCTCACGCAGATGGCACTGCTCAAGTTCAGCTCGCACCGTGCAGCGGCCATGGCCAAAAAGGCCCTGATGGAAGGTAGGGGCGGAGGCTGCTGCGGGCCGCTGGTTGGAGCCACAGTATTCTGCCAGGAGCTTTACCTCCATACGTCAGTAGGGCGGGTAAAGTAGAAAGATCTTAAGGCCAAGAATGCCCGAATTTGCAACTTATTTATTTGAACTCAGCTTTTAAAATTTCCAATGGTACTACCACTTACCTAAACTGAATACTTCCCATGAGTTATCTCCTAACTTAACCCTCAACATTCCAATGAAAAATATACAACCATCTCCCTCTTTAGAGAAGATTGTTTTAAGAGAAAGGGACTTGCCCAAGGCAGTCCAACTGAGACTGTTGTCTGTTGTGAGAATTAAGCTGGATGCTTAGCACATTCCTTGATTCTTGGCAAGTATTCACAGAAAAGGTTGGTAGTTTTATGGTTTTGCAGTAGATAAAGCCAGCATCCAATCAGTACTCCTCCAAGAAAACTTAGAAGGTAGCTGTTACTGCACCCTTTTTACAAACACAATGAAGCCTTCTTATTTTGCCCGAGGTCACATCACCTGGTAATTGTGTGACTTGACTCCTAAGGACTCACAGGGCTTGGGTGCAGGGCTAAGACCTGTCCTTGTCTCTGCCTTTTCCCTACAGGGCAGTCACGCCTCTGTGGAGAGCAGGTGGCTGTGGAGTGGCTCAAGCCAGACGTGAAGCACCGACTCCGCCAGCAGCTTGTGGGGCCCTCGCTGAGGTGCCTACAGCCAGAAGGCAGTGGGTTGGCCCTCGCTAGGGACAAGCTAGCGTCCCAAGGGGCTCGAACTGCCTTGCAGCTGCTGTGCCAACGGATGAAGCTGGGTAGCCCAGTGTTCCTCACCAAGTGCTTGGGCACGGGCCCTGCTGGCTGGCACCACTTCTGGTACCAGGTGGTGATCCCTGGGCATCCAGTGCCCTTCAGTGGCCTCATCTGGGTTGTGCTAACCGTGGAAGGGCAGGATGGGCATGAGGTGGCCAAGGATGCTGTGTCTGCACGGCTGCTGGAGGCACTGAGCGAGTCTGGGGCCCGCCTCCTTTCATGTGCTGGGGCAGTGAGCGAGTCTGGGGCCCGCGCCCTGTGGTCTGCTGGAGCTGAGGCAGGTACCATGGTTAAGCAGTAACCCCATCCTCTACAGGCAGCCTGAACAAGTCGGCAGAGCCTGTGTCAGTCCCCAACCCAGCAGGTCTGGGCAGCCACCATCTGATCCCCAAAAAGGGAGGCGCATGGGCCCTGCCCTAGGCCTGACACAGCCTCCCAGCTGGGGCACAGCCCCAGTGCACTTGGAGACACTTAGCTCAGATTTGGCTAAGTTGTGGTGAGGGACCTTGCCCTCTCTCTCCCAGCCCAGAGTATCCCTTGGCCTTTTTCTGTGTGATACCCACACTGTCTCCTCCCACAGCTTAGCACGAATCTTCACTTACTTTCTTGATTTGTCTTTGTTTTTATTTGGGGGATGGCTGAGCCAAAGGGTCAGAAACCTGCCTTTTGTCCCCACCACTTGGTGTTTTGGTTTTGGTGTATGTGTACTGTTGGTTTATCTATGCTGGTTGTATTTATATTAAACCCCTGGTTGGTGTACACCTGTGTCTGTGCTATCTTGCCCCAGCTGTGGGCTTGTCTTACACTGGTAGAGTGAGCAGCTCTACTTCCCACAGTCCTGAGCCTCTATTTGCCCATCTCCTTATGCTGTACAAGAGGGTATGATAAATTCATAGCCTCTGGGGATCCAGCCCAGGAAGCAAGACTCTTGCCCAGTGAGGACCTGCCTTGAGATTCAACTCATCCCCTCAGTCACTGTCATCCTCCCTCTCCTCTTCCTCCTTCTCCTTCTCCTCTTCCCTCAGTCCTGCAAAGAAGTCATCGGTGCTCCAAGCCTTGCTACTCAGCGCCCGAAGCGGCCCTCCCTTTTTTTTGCGCCGACGGTAATCATCCACCACCACAGCCCGCAATTGGGCCATGTCCCAAAATTTGAGGCACTGGTCATGGCCACTGCTGGCCAGGAAGCGGCCGCAGTGGGAGAGGGCCAGCTCCTCCACAGGCTCCCCGGCATGCTGGCCCACACTGCCCACCACTCGGTTCGGCAGGATGTTCACAGCCCTGGACAGAGAGAAAAGAGTGTTGGGTATTGGCTGGTTGGGCGCCTACCCTTCCTGTGCCCCTAAGCGCCCAGCTTCTCTCACCTGATGACTCCATCGGTAGACCCAGTGCACAACAGACTGTCAGTGACTGGAACCATGCAGTCAATGGACTCAGCTCTCAGGGCAAAGCGGTCACTTGTGGCCCCAAAGCCGTTCCAATTGAAGAGATAGATGGTGCCTTCACTGGAGCCACAGGCCACCTTCCTTCCACACTGCAGGGAAACAGGATAAACCATGTTTGTAGAGCTCTGTCAGACCAAGTCCCTCGCACACCCCATCCCACCGTACCCAGCCGTACTTTCATGATTGTGACAGAGGTCAGGTCTCCAGACTGAGGTTCTGAAAGCAGCTCAAACCGGCATCGCTTAATATTGAAGACACCAAGGCAGCCATCTCCACTACAGAGAAAGCAGAGCAGCAGGCTTGGCCAGAGGCTCCCATTGAGGGAGACATTTAGCACAGGGAAGGCAGCTTTGAGGATGTACCTGGCTGTCAGCAGCAGCTTCTTGGCTGGGTCCAGAGCCATGTCAGCAATGTACTCCTCATGTTGCCGCATATCCATTAAGGGGCCTTCCTTCCGCTGGTCCCAGAGCCGGATGCCACCTGTGTCATCCCCAGTGGCCAGAACATTCATATCCACTAGCAGCAGGCTGTTGATAGGGGCACTAGAGACATAGATGATGCAGTTGTTCTTAGAGCATCTTTGCCCCAATAGGGAGCTGCAAGTCCTTACCCAAGACTAAAAAATTAGTCTTACCCTCGCCTCAACACATTTGGCTTCTCTTACCCGTGAGCCTTGGAAATGCGTCTTTCCAGTCGGCCCTGCTCCACGTCTAGAACGTGGATGGCTTTGTCCTTGGAGACAGTAACAAGTTCTGGGGGGAAAGGTGCGCAGGTCATGGTGCTGCTCACTGCTCCCCTCCCACCATCACACTGCTGGCTGGCTGCCTTCCCCAATACTCACTCTGCCCATCTTCAGAGAAGACCACGGCACGGCAGGACTTGAGGTGGTGACCTGAGGACCAGAGCTCTTTGGTTTCTCCCTCTTGACAGGAGTAAGAAAAGCTGGAGAGAAATGGAGAGTGAATGACCCCAGACCCTGCCTGGGGTGTACCAACTAGTCAACCTTCCACCTACCTAGGAGTTCCTGCTAGTACACCCCTAAGCCCAAGGAGCTTACTGTGGGGCGCGGTTACGGTGTTCTGGCCAGGTTCAAGCCTCGGACTAATGAAAGGACAGGGTCCTCTCATTGCCACGTGCAAGTCCCAGCTGGAGGGCAGGGCCCTCCCAGCACAATCATAGCCAACAATGGTTGTAACTATGGTCCGAACACGTAGCCCCACGTGCCTTATCATAGAGTTCAGGTGCATGTAGTTGAGTAGGGTTGAAACACGGGAATACTGTAAACAACTTGATCACGCCCCTACTTTGCCTCGTGGCATCTGCTATAAAATAAAGACACGGTTTGTGGGCGCTGGCGTTGTCTCCTCTTCAGGGAGCAGCATCCCACCGAGACCCAGCTATTATTCTCTTGTCTGTCTTTTCTCAATCCTTTCCCCCCGCCACTCAGGATCACCTTTGGCCGTAACAGCTTACCATCCCATTTTTTCCATTTTCAATGAGCTTCAAATATTTGGAAATCTTTTCTCATTTGATAGATATTTGCTTGCAACTTTGTGATGTCACCCCACCCTTCTTAAATCATCCTTGCAAGCCCCAGCCTGGGGAAAGATTAGGTATGGACCACTGTGAAAGCCCAGAAATATTCGTTAAATTAATAACAGAAGCGCAGCCCCAGAAGTTGGAAATGTAAAAATTAGTAAAACAGGGATCTTGCACTCCAGTTCTGTAGGAGCTAGAGATCCAAACTTAATTCTGGCACATTGTGACTGCACACTGAAAAAGAGCCAGGATCAAAATGCAGGTGGAACAGAGAAGCACCAGCCTGTAAACTCAGCAAGGCAAGCACCTGTGCAGAGAGCATCCCCAGTGCAGGTCCTCAGAGCAGATCCTCAAAGCAGCCGAGTGAATTAAGTGCTTAATTGCCAGTGAGTTCCAGGTGGGCAGAACTGGGTCTACTAAGTTTGCTCTATCCCAGTGCCTAGCATGAAAAAGCTGCTTAATAGACACATTTTTAAGTAAATGAGACAAGCATTCAAATAAGTATACGAACTTATGTTTGACTACAAACAATTATGAAGTTTATGAGGAAAAGACATCTGGTGCCAAGGCAGCACCTAATAAGTAATCTGATTTAGTCAGGGGCATGGGGACAGAGTGAAGACATGCTGAGAACTTAGAGATAGGAGGTACAGGTGAAGGGAAAGGAGCTGAGGCTTCAAGATTCATTATAAAGGTGAGGATGAATGAGCATAGAAAGCAAAGGGGAAAGCGAGCAAGGGCCAGAGGGTCAATCAGTTTAGACCTAATCCTAAAAGCAACGGTAAACTATTTAAGGATTTGTGTTTTCAAAAGAGCAATTAAAGCAAGAAGCACAAGAAGGGGACCCTGTTGAGCTTGTTTCAGGCTCAGTATAATAATCTGTCCTGAAAGCCTTCTTATCCTGCTACTTACTGTTTCTGGGCTCCGTCACGACATTACAGCCATTTCACCTTCCTTTCAGCTCTTTTCAGAGATTTGTGTGCTAACTTGTTTAAAGCCAAATGTTAATGAACGAATCAGACCAGATGAGTCTTGCAAACTTTCTTTCTCTCCCTGCACTCTCTTCTCTCCGCCAGCTCCATTCCAGGGGAGCTGCCAGCCCCCGAGCCCACCACGCTCACCGCGCCCCGGCCCTGGCGCGCACTTACACGAACACGTCCCCGTCCACGTCCCCCGCCGCCAGGAGGTCGCGGGACGGGTGGAACGCCAGCCCACTGGCCGGCGCTTCCAAAACGATGTCTTCAGGGGTGTCCCGGGTCCGGGCCGGGACTTCCGTGGCGTCGGAGTCCTCCTCGTCGCTCCTATCCTCCGTGGCCCTCTCCTCGCACGTGTGATCCATGCACCGGAGGGTTCCGAGCCGCCTCGCAGTTGACTAGCGTGCCAAGCCGTCAACCGGCAGAAGTAAGCCGCCCGGTGCACCGCTTCCGCCTGGGGGGGCGGGACAGGAAGTGGCGCCGGGGCGTCTCCGTAACCAGGAAAAGGCGGGTCTCCGCAGCTGTTGTGGGCGGGGCGGACTCTAGGGGCCAGGTTCCCAAGGTCCCCTGAGCTCCTGTGTTGACGCCACTGATACCTAGACCAGGTAGATGGCCGAAGACCATCAATCCCCTCTCTAGTCGCATTTCTCCTTCCCCCTTATCCTGACCCATGCAGACCGCCATTCAGGGCTCAGATCTACATCCAGGCCCCAGAACTCCATCAGGCCCAGACTTCCCTGCCAGGACCCAGACGTCCATCCGGGGCCAGACCTCACTGCCAGGACCCAGTCCTCCATTCGGGGCTCAGATCTCCATCCGGGGCCCAGATTTCACTCACGTAACCTAGACCTCCATCTTGGGCTTAGACTTCCATCCCAGAACCCAGATGTCCATTGAAGGACCCAGGTCTCCATCTGGGAACCAGACCTCCATCCCATACCCAGACTTTCTTTCCAGGACTCAGAACTCCATCCAGGGCCCAGACCTCCATCCCAGGGCACAGACCTCAACCCGGGTCCCAGATCTCCATCCTGGGGCCCAGACGTCCATCCGGGAGCAGGACCTCCATCCGGTGCAGCCCCAGCTGAATCCCAGCCTTTGGCTGGTCCTCCAAACTCTGCTGTGACCGCTTATCTGGGAAAACAGCCCCCCTCTCCTGCACTCACGGGGAGCCCCTCTGATTCTCAGGCAGCTGTTAGGCAGAAGGTCTGACCTGGCTGGTGCCACCTCGCTCTCCACTGTCCGAGGATGTTGGAATGTGAGCCTGGCCACCACCCGGAGGCTAATTCTTCGCCTCTGAAAACCACACCAGGCTTTTCAAATTCAGTTATGCTATGCCTCTCCACCGGGTACCAGCTCGCTGGTGTACTCCAGGAACCTAGAACTGGCACCCTACACCTTGGCCCCCCTCCCTCGGGTGCAGACACAATAAGCCCTGCCGGCATCGCCAGCAGGGCCACAGGGCAGGTCACCCAGTGCTATTTCCTCCTCACTCCAGTGCACAGAGGGCTCTCCCAGGCCCCTTCCTGGGCTCGGCACACAACTCCTGTGGGCATGCGCTTGACCAGGCCCCCCTCCTTGGAGATGTTCAGGAGACTAGTGCTGTTTCTGCCCAGCAAGCCTAGAAGCAAGGCTGGAATCACCCCAGGACCAAATCAAACCCAGGCAAACTCGGCGCAGGACTGGGAGCACCCCGACCTGGGCCCCTGGAACTGAGTCAGTGTGCCACCTCCCCTGACGTCATTGTGTCAGTGTCACTCGGCCCGAATGGGACCCAGGGCAGAGGGGACTGGGAAAGTCGGGGTGAAAGGAAGCAGATGAGAGAGCCTCCCTCTCTCAGAGCCTTAGAGGAGCCGGGCAGAAGGGGTGCTGGTAAGATGTAAGTTATCAAAGGTTCTAATCAAGTATTTATTAGTTAATTGAAAAAAGAAAAAAAGGAGAAACAGGAGAGCTTCATCGGCTCCTGAAATACTTTAGGGAAGTTGCTAAAAAAATATTTTCCTGGAAAAAAAAGTTATATGACCACGGTGACTACCCATTATGACCTGCCCATTTATGATCAGATGACCCTGTGAGGTTACTTTCAATAGAACCCCATTTTTTAGTTCACGTCACACAACCTTAAGGACTTAATGCCTTTGGGATCAGACACACTCCAGTCATTCATAGCGTGGTGAAATCCAAGACCATGACCAGTGTCAGCCAGGTTGGTCAGGAAGCAGCAAAAGCCTATGCCACAAGAATTTCACACGGTGGGTCGTGGAGGGCAGGCAGCCCATGTGTGCATATGCCTAAGTTGCTGCCCTCTGTGCGCGACATCTTCATGGCTGAACAGCGCCCTGCCCATTCCTATAGCTAGGCTGCAGACCCTCGGTGGGCCGGGCCAGCTGTGCTCAGAGCAGGCAGTTGCTGAAGAGGAAAATGGGCACAGCAGTTGTTTTGGACATCCCAGTTAACAAAGGTTCCACAAAGAGGAGCACCCTGTGCTTTAGAGGAGGAAGTTGCTAAAAAATATTTGCCTGGAAAAATAAAAAGTTATATGGCCAGGGTGTGACTACCCATTATGGTGGGGCAGATGAGAAGGAACTCCTGATGTGGCTGAAGAGAACCTCCTCACATCACTGTGGTATGAAGCCTTCTAAGACATCTGATGTGCTGATTTCCCAACCTTCTTAAAGAGAGGCGAAAGGAGTGAGGTTAGGGACCTCAGAGAGACTATATGCCCTCTGTGTGACTGGAAGTTTCTGTGCACATCACTGTGGTATGAAGCCTTCTAAGACATCTGATATGCTGATTTCCCAACCTTCTTAAAGAGAAGCGGAAGGAGTGAGGTTAGGGACCTCAGACTATATGCCCTCTGTGTGACTGGAAGTTTCTGTTTGTGTTGGAAGTCCTTGTCACTGTGTTGTCAACCAGTCACTTCCATAAAGATGGGTAGAAACTGATTTTACACTGACAGTCAACCCCCAGGTCTTTTTAAAAATATATATCTTTATTAATTTCAGAGAGGAAGGAAGAGGGAGAGAAACATCAATGAGGGAGAATCATTGATCAACTGCCTCCTGCACACCCCCTACTGGGGACCGAGCCCACAACCCGGTATGTGCCCTTGACCAGAATTCAACCTGGACCCTTGTCCACAGGCCAACACTCTATCCACTGAGCCAAACCGGCTAGGACCAACCCCCAGGTCTTATCTTAGTGATACTCTAGGTATCTTATTTTGAGCCAGGTCTCTGTCTTTTTTCCTAATTAGGACCCACTGCCTACAACCATGAAAGCTGGGTGTCACTGTCTGAAATTAGTCATTCTAGGTGCTATTGCAGACAAGGCTCAATTTCAATCTCTTAAGTGCCCCTACCCTATCAAGAATAAAGTAACTAAAGGCAATGGCTAAGATGGCCCTCTATCTTTCTTTGGACCTGGTGAGCCCACAAATTTTAGGCTTAGAATAAGCAGTGGCAGGTAGGGATCCAGTCCGAAAGTGGTGACCTTTATTTATAAGTACCAGACGAAAGTGTTGGCAATGAGCAGAGAGAAGGAAAAAAGTGGGGATGGAGTTGATTTGGAGACCAGGGAGCCCATCTGGCCTTAGTAAACTTCTCAGGGTGTTGACGGGCACACCAAAATGGCCTAGCACAGGGATTCCCCAAGGTATCCCTTCAGCCAGGGCAGCGGTGATGTGTGCTTGAAATTAAAGCTCCCAGGAGGACATAATTGCATAAAAGATTTTTGTTCCCACAAGTGATTCTCATCAGATGCCTTCACCTAGCACTCAGCTGTGCAAACTTTGGGATTAGACTGGCAGCCCACTGCGCTCACCCTAATTCCCAGGGAATCTCTGCCCTAAGAGTCGGGCCCCAAATGGGCCTGAATGGGTCTGACATTTGAGACCAACCATCTATCTCTTGTCCATTCTCCTCTGGGCACCTAGCTAGTAAACATTCTTACTGTCGAGATATCTAGAACCATAGCTCAGGAAAGGACTGAGCTGACTTTCTGCATGTGTTTCTACAATCAGTAAAATTAATATCCCTCTTGGTGCCTCAGGGGCCCTGGAGTGGAGGGTGCACAATACAGAAAAGACTGCAGGTTAACCAATTTTAATGGAACCAAGTGATTATACAATAATATATACATCAGAAACAAACAAACACCTTGCAACTTTTTTGGGAATTGTAGAAAGCAAGCAGTGGGAGGCATGTCCTTGTAAAGACTCTTGGAGTTGGAACTGGAGATCAGTATTTTGGTCTTTTCACTTCAACCCTGCAGTAATAGAATAAATGAGTCAGCCTAAGATCAAATAAAGTAAGCAATTCCCTAGTCCCATAGAGAATGAATAAGGCTGCTCACCCATCAGCTTCCATCTTCTTCCTCTTCTCAATGATCTGCAAGAAGTTACAGTCGATAGTTACACTGCCACTTTAAGTCCAACTGAGGCTCAAGGCTGATCTCTCTACTTCCATGGCTCTCCAGCCCCTGGCCTATTCCTGGATTGATGGACCAGTGTCTACTCCCAGCTGAAGCCCTCCCACCAGAGAGGCAGTCCCACTTACTGCACTAATCTTTTTCCACTGGCGATCCAGCTCTGCTTTGTCATTGGTTTCTTTGAAGCGCCTGGTTTTCCTCCCCTCAGACATTTTGATGCCATACTGGAATGCAGCCCTGAGGGGAAAAAAGGGCAGTTGAGGGAAGACAACAGAGACATTAGTTTGCATAGCAGTAGCAAGGTGTTCCCAGAGGGCCTGTGAGCAGAAAAGCTATTTGAAAATGTCTCAGCCAGACGACACCCTCCAACCTGGTGTGAGCTAGCCCACCCATCGCCATCCCTCTCCTCACATCCTGGCTGTATTTAGTACCAACTCACTTGGGCAAAGCTTCCTTGTTGTTCATATACTCGCTGTATTCTTCCTGGGTATCGAAGTCCCAGCGGCCTAAGGGGCCCTTCTTGTTACCCTGTTGCAGGACAAAATGGCAAAGGCAGAAGGAAGAGATGTCAGTGGAAATGGAATTTTAGTCCCTGATTAAGCCAGGTTCTTCCATAGTCTCTGATTTCATCATTTATAAATTCTACCCTAATAAATAATAAATGCTTGCTATGTACTTATTATGTGCCAGGCATTTTTCTGAATACTAAATACCTATCTTATTTAATTCTCTCAAAAACTCTATTAAGAGAAAATATATTTCTATTTTCCTGATGATGAAATTGAGGCATACGCAGTAAAATAAATTGACATAGCCACAAAACTAATAAATGGAAGAGTCAGGGTTAAGCAAGGTTCCAAGATGGAATTAAACAATGGTCTTAACCATTGTAGTGCAGGGAGAATAAGGAAAAAGTAGATGAAATTTCTTTACCATTAATGGTGTTTGTTGGGTTTTAAGAGTTGGAAGAATATTCCAATACTGGCTGGTTAGAATAAAATCAGTTATTTTCAAAAGACTGCCATTTCGTT